CGTGAGATGAACGGGGAAGTTTCTGTTGGACCACCTTTTTGCTCTGCGGCAGGTGCTAAAACAGTATGACACGTGTCATAGGCCAATTAAGCTGTGTTCAATGGCATTGCTAGTGCGTTCGATTCAGTCGGTAATTCAGCTCTGATGTAATTTCCCGGAACGGTGATCCCATAAATAGGCGGACATCGTAGTGCCCTGTGCTGCAACCTCATGGTTCGGGTCATGATCTACGGCATATCATCGGACGCTCTTTTGACAACTTGCGGTACTCATCGGAGTTGTGCCATTTCCCGATACCTTACCAATTTCTTCTTGAACTGCAATTCGAACAGTTTCCTTATGCATTCTCATAATTCGGGTTGTTTATAGCTGTTTGGAAAACCAGTTGCTTTGGGCTGTCAGTCTTACTTAAATTAGGTCTCAGCCGCCGGATTGCTTACGCCTCCGTTAACTGAGGCAGGCGAGCATCGTTCTTTCATAAACTCAAATATGGCCCCGTTATTTGGCATGTACTCATCTTTAAGATGCAGTTATGTTGCAAGACTCCTACCGCCAGATAACCTTTTGGTTCTTAATGCTGAGGAACTGGATGCAATTGGTCTTTTCACTTTTCATGCTACCTTAACAGCGATCAGTGCTTAACTGTTCGATCACGCATTACATAGGTTGTGTTATGATTGCGTAGATTGCCTTAGTCGTCGCCGCTGTTATAATTGAGGGAACGCCGCCTCTTGAGATAATTGCGTAATTGCCTGATAAGAGGGTCGCTGGCACGCCTACGATAATTGCTTGCTACGCTGACCACTCGAACGGAATTGCGCTGTCCTGATGACGCTGGCTTGGCCGGTGGGACGGAAAATTGAACGAGCGTGGGAACGATCTTAGCCGCACTTGTTCGTATAGACGCTGAGGCCTCGAAAACGGACGCACACGAGAGCGGGTACGATAGACGCGCGCTAATGACTTAGACGCGAGGGCTGGCCAGTTAACGACTCGCACGCAATCACGCGACCCGACCGACTCCCAACTGAGGCGAAGAGAAAGAAAAGACAAGTGGTCCCCTGTAGGCTCTTTTACGACCAACAAAGGGCGATCACAGAGAGTGCTATGGGTTATTAAGTTAAGGAAAACTGTCACCACGAAGAGGTGGTAGTTTGTAAATGACCATTGTCAGAAGGTGCACAGTTTGGGCCGCGTCTCGGAGTGGCTGAGCTCTGCTGCGTTGTGGGGAGGAATTGGCCCTCGCTTTCTACAGCCATTCTGCCGGAGTTACTGGCTCGTTTTTGCGGGGATTTTTGACGTGCCCGCAACACCTCCCTTTGAAGAGAAAACGTACCGCTTCTGACGAGGATTGACCTGGAGGGATTTCGGCGACCTCCGGATTCTTCCTGTTCGTCGGCAAGACAGGTTCTCCAGATGCGGCGACGATTGAGCGGCTTCGACCGTGGTCTCCCGTTGTGGAGCCATTCCAAAGGTATCCAGCAGGATGTGCAGCGGCAGGTGCACGGGATGGCTGGCTGGCATGGAGGTTTCTCCGTGGCGCGGACGAAGTTGATTGCGATGGCGAACCCAGGTGTCATCACCTACGGAGACATTATGCAGCATGTCACCTCGCCTGGCCGTCACTGTTGCTTTGATCCAGCGAGGATGACCGGCTCGATAATCGCGAGCGTAGACTGGGGCTCCAACGACGAATTCTTTAGGCTTGCTGTAGGCACCAGATTGTGTAGGTGGCTTCTCAGTCGGAATGAGCGCTTCGTTGGTTGTGCGTAGCTTGCGGCCCATCAATGCTTCAGCTGGTGACTGGCCTCCTGGCGTAGCTGGATTCGGTGTGGACCGGTACGAGAGCAGGAAGGCCTGAAGACACTCATCCACGGTCCCCTCCCCGCGAGATTTCAAAAGCGCCCTCTTGAATGTGTCGACAAATCGCTCCGCTTGACCGTTGGATTGGGGATGGTAAGGCGGTGAGCGGAGGTGTTCGATGCAGTGTCGGCGGCAAAAGTCTTCGAAGACGGAAGACGTGAACTGGGAACCATTGTCGGACACCAAAATCTCGGGAAGTCCATGTTGACTGAAGATTTGTTGGAGACAAGCCAGCGTGGCGGATGCGGTTGGGGGGTTGACGGCGACCACTTCCGGCCATTTGGAATAGGCGTCGACCATGACCAGGTAGGAAATGCCATCGATGGGACCAGCGTAATCGATGTGCACTCGAGACCACGGTTTTGCTGGCGGCTGCCAAGGAACTGGTGATTGGTGTGGTGGCATCTTGGATGCTTGTTGACAATCCTGGAACACGGGGGCGGATTGACTGGCTTTGTCATCGGTTCGGTCGTTTGGTACTGTCGGAGAATGTACCACGTTGCAGATGGCCTGAAGGGGAAGATCGGCCAAGCCAAGGATTTCGAGCCAGTCGAGACCAAGTACGTTGAGCTTCGCCTTCGTGATGTAGCAGGTCGCGTTGAATGTGGCGCCCCGGAAGGAGACGGAGCAGTGCAGCTGCCCAGTTAGCTGCACGCGACCACCACAGGCGCTGGTGGCAGATTGGGAGGTCGGTTCGAATGGTGGTTTGCCAAGGGATCGCCAGAGATCCTCGGAGATGATTGTGATGTCCGACGCAGTGTCCAACTGCAATCGGACCGACTGACCATTGATCAAGACGTCGACGAACTTTCTCCGATCCGCAGCGTTGATTTGGAACGTGGCCAGCAGGCTCAGGGAGCTGCCAACCGGACCAGGTTTGGGTGTGCGTCTGGGTCGGGACCTCTTCTTTGGACCGCGGGTGGGGGCCAGCCCAGTTTTGGCCCCCTTGGGAGATGGAGGATGGCAGTAACCATCCCGGTGCCCCACCCTGCCACAACGTTGACAACGATGCTGGCGGAACTTGCAGTCGCGGTGGAAATGCCAGGCACCACAGAATCGGCATGCGTAGGGTGGGGACTTCGCTCGGTCGGATTGGGTGGGGCGCGCGGACGATTGCGCCCTAGGTGCTGTGACTGCCTGGACCATACCAGGTGCGGCGGCGTTCTGAATCATGGCAGAATCGTGCTTCAGGTTGAGCAGCGTTTGACACTCCTCGGCCAGGTTCTGGAGTGTGACTGATCCATCCTGTTGTAGCTTGGACAGGAGGTGCGTCCGGACATCGGCATCGTGTGGAGATTGGAGGCCAGAGACAAAGATCAGGCATTTGAATTGGTCCTCGGTGAGCGAGCCAAGTTGAGAACGTTTGCATTCACGGTTGACCATGCCCGCGTACGTGATGAAGTCGTCGGCATCACGTTTGACCAGCTGCAGACATTGGTAACGAGCATTGAACAGGGAGGACTGCTCGCCAAAAATCTGTGACAACGTTCGGACCGTGTCGTCAAAGGTAACCTCCCGTGGGTTCCTCGGCAAGATGAAATTGGTGTAACGCTGGTGTTCGAGGGTACCAAGTTTGCGCAGAAGCAGGCGGACTTTCCACGCGTCGTCCTGGCGAGCCAAATCAACGGTGAACAGGTCCTCGTACCGCTTGTACCAGGATTCGAACGTTACCCCGGCCTTGGCGTCGTACAGAAATTCGCTGATGCCGCTAACCACCTGGTCCACTGACTGAGAATTGGCGCTCGGACCTGCATGAAGGGAAGAACTGGAAAGCTTTTCGGTTAGCGCGGACATCAATTTAAGCTGTTGCTGCAGCATCAATTTTAAATCGGCATATTCGTCGGTCATGGTTCACCAACTCTGTCGCTGGCAGCTTGTCAGTGCAAGTTAGGGTGTATAATTCTCCAATAAGGCCAGTGTTACGGTATGGGTCAGAGACCTAATCATTTCGCAGCAAAGACATTAGACGGCTGGCCGTGTTTGATCACTGGTGCTTACGGAGTATTGCTCACATTTGGTTGGGACTTCAAATGAGGAGTGCTGAGGTCCTCCTGTTGATCTTTGGCAAGAAGTCTGCCTCACTTGAGTATTTGCCGAAATTACCTCGGCTAGGCAATGTTCTCCGTACGCCCGTTGATCGGCTTTCTCGGTATACAACAACTTGGGCGAAACCGCGCGGTGACCACTCGATGACTTGTCACAAAAGCACGAGGAAATTGGCTGGGAGCTTTGTTCAAGCTGGTACGTTCCGTTTTTATGTTCTGGGATTGCCCACACCAGTGGTTGGAGACTCTATCGGACATTGTGCAATGGCGTCCCTGCATTCATTTCTTGTATCTAGTCGTTACTTTTCCATCTTATTTAGTTTTTATTTTGCTGTCCGACTTTCGTACAACCTCTTTTTACCGATGTTAAATATCGTGGCAGTTGGATTCATCACACTTGTGTGCCCGAATCATAGCTGTTCAACAGCTGATTGGCCGACGGTCGAAAGGATGAGACGTCTAAGTTGTGAGCCAAAGGTTGCTGGTCCGAAGCTGCGTAGGCACGAATGATATTGCAGTATCCCCAGCCCGTGGACGATTGGTGGTGGTCACGTGGTAGTGACGGGTTGTGGCACACGAGCGTACTGCTAATGTCTGTTCTTGTTTGCCTTTGTATCTTATTGGAGACGGTTTGCAGTCGTAACTAGTAGAGCATTCTTGATGTCGCCGCTGCTACCTTGTTTCCACATGATAGCCTGTTGCTTGTGACTCTGCGTTGTTGGCAAGGCGTACGTATCCTTATCCCGAGTCCTTGCTTGGGATCATTTCAACGATTGCAAACTTTTTCATCCGGCGTTTCAGTGATTGAAGGAATTGTGAATATGGTGACTGCTGGCGAATCGAAACAACAGTTTGAAACAGATGTTACTAGTGCCATTTGTGTCACTAGTTTGTGAAAACCCCATTCATCTGAATAGACAATACCTCGCCGTCCTTATCGAGGCCACCAGTGTTTGCGAACACTGCATGCGTTCCAGGCTGCCAACAATCAAGCGACATGGTGTGTAAAGCACATGCTCCCTAGTCATCATTTCCCTTTCTGTGTGTATTCCTCAAATTTTCACGGCTCACTTTTCCTACTTTCATTTGCAGCTGTACAAACGACTCAGCATCACCAGCGATCGTCAGGTGTACAGGCAACACGATTCTCGTACATGTGAGTTATTGCTCTACTATCCATTTTTTTGAAAGTGGGAGTGAGTTTCGGGTGCATCCTTGTTTGGGTACAGAAAATGAGCTGTTACGTCTGTATAGTTCGTCTGTGCATAAACACTGGTGTATTTAGAACTTCTTCCCCCCATGGTTTGATTGCGCTCAGTGAAACTGAATGCGAGCTGCTCGCGTCTGTACGATTCCGCCGTTTCGGTTACTGATCTTGTATTGTTGGTCCCTGATGGGAATGATGGCATACTGAGTGGTAATGTTAGGCTTGAAGTGCACTCCAACTGTGAACTGTGCTATAGTCCATTGGCCAGCTGGGATGGTTTAGTGTTCATGCTTCCACACTTAATTTTGCATGTTAAAGCTTAACGAGTGGCAGGCACAGGGTCTGTACGTATTCCTATCCGGGCACTTTAAAACCATAGCGTCGGTGCCATTGTCGTATGGATTGTACTACCCGCACGGTGGAGATCAAATCATCTCGTAAGTAGCCGTGCTTCAGCTCTTCTACTGTGCACTGCAAGCGATATGCGTGTGGTGAGAGCTTAGATCCCAGACCTGCGGAACACCTACCTATATGCGCACTTCACATGAGCCAGCTTATGGCCGCGCGATCGCTAGCGCATAAGTGAAACATGTACGTATGAAGCATGTGCCAGCTAGTCCCGGATGAGTCGACGCAAGAGATTTGCGAGGCACTGTACCACATAATTGCCTTGTCGCTTTCGTGTCCATAGACTTTTATCTAAGCCCAGTCTGAGTTCTGCTTCTTCGGAGTGTTGTTACTTGACAAGGTGTGCCAATAACCACTGATTGGCAAACACGTTCACTTACCCAGAAAATCGTTTGATTTTTGTGCTTACTCCTCTGTGGAGCTACTGTATGTAGCAGACAAAACTGTGTCTTTCCAGAGTCCTAACTGGGGACTACCGGCCACCAATCTGTCAATCAAAGATAGATTATACGAAGCTTCGCTAATCCAAGTGTGGCTTCATGCATCACAGCCATATGGCCACGTCGTATTAGAGATGTTAAAGGACGGGTCGTTTTTGTCATCGATGCTAATAGTGCCTTTCTTACGTTTGATGAGAACAGTACTGTCCACCAGTTGTTGTTTGAAATGAAGCTTCCTGATGAGGCACTGAATTATCTCTTAAGCCTGAACCGTTTAATATGACTAGCTCATGTCCTCTGTTGCCAAAACACCTCGATGTGCATTCTGTGCCGCCACAGTACCCAAATGGGCGGAAACCACGAGGAACGATGACGGAGTATAAAGGTACGAAAAAATTAACCAGGGTACTTGGTCAGGCAGATAATGGATTAGTTCCTCGGAACCGACCGATCTTGTCTAACAACGATGTCTTTTGAGTTCCCTGCGACAAGTGTAGCAAACCACACTTGTCTTGGATCTGCTTTTCTCCTCAACTTTGTGTTCCAAATGATGATGAATGACTCCACTCCTTCATATGGAAATTCCTCAAGGTTATCGACAGCAGACCTTTATGCGGGCATCGTAGTTCTCCTTGGATCTAATGCATTTGTTCTACAAGCACTACCTAATAGAATGACGCACGCATCCGCATGAGCTTTGCACTTGGAAAGTGCAAAGTACTGTTGCAGGACTGCACTGCTAGGCTACTGGTTCCAGCTATCAGCGAATAACCACTGGAATTGTTGGATTGATTCACTTGCCTTGGTAACTGTGTCACCTCTGGCGGTCAGCTCACTGAAGAAGTTATTTCGCATGTCAGCAAGGTCCGTGTGACTTTCCATTGACTGAGCCATCTATGGAGACGGCGGGATATCAGCGTGTCAGTGATAGGTAGTCTGTGTAGCGCTTCGGTGAGGTCGGTTGTACTGTATGGATCAGGGACCTGGACAATTCGCAGTCGGAGCACCTAACGCTTGGCCGTGTTTGACCACCGGTGCCTGCAAAGTATTGCTCACCTTTGGTGGGAACCCTAAGTGAACAATGCTGCGGTCCGCCAGTTGGTTTTTTGGCAAGAAGCCTTCTGCTACATCACTCATTTGTTTGCTAAATCTCAGTCGCTTGCTTTGGCTAGGCCATGTTCTCCGTTTATCCGTTGATCGGCTTCCTAGGCGTGCGTTATACACCTTGGCCGCACTAATTTGAGTGAAACCGCGAGGTGGCCAGTCCATGGCATAGCATAGAAACTTAATGAAATTGACTAGTCACCTTGGTGCGTTCAGTCTTCCTGGATGGGGCCACGGTCGTTGACCGGTTAAGATATGGTGCAGTCACGAAGTCAGTGGTGTTCTTGCATTCGGTTTCTTACATCTGGTTGTTCATTCTCGTTCCATCATGGTGTAGATTAATACACCTCCTTGGTCCCGTTTTCTCAACGTTCTATTTGGACTCAACCCCATTATTTTGCCGTTGTTGTTTATTGATATCCTGGCGATGTGAGTTGTGGCAACTGGATCCACCGAACTGAACTGAACTGAACAACCCTCATTCTAGAGTCATTGGTGCCCCTGTGGTTGTCCCTTGCACCTTACCGTTCGCTTTCTATTAGACTTGCTTTTACTTAATCTTTTTTTCTTTTATTTTTTGCATATTTTCCCATCTATACTTTTTCTTCTCATTATTTTGGTGACATGGCTCACAGCAACTGAACCGACCCAGCTCCATTGCTGGAATTCAAATTGGTTCACCCAACTGAACTAAGCTGTTGCGACTCCCGGCACTCACATGTGTTTTGTAGCTATTCCCGGTCACCGTTGTATTCGATGTCAGAACCGACAGTCACGATGGTCTCATTCTCTCTTCATGTCACTTTGGCATCCGTTGATTGTAGCTTACTTTTACTACAATCTTTACTTTATCTGCATTACACTTACTTGCTTTCTCGGGCTTCATGTTTGTCCACTCCTCTTTTCCATTTTCTTGTCTCAGTGAATCTCGGGCAACCGGAAGTATGAAGCCTGACGCTTGATATTAAGCTAACTTGACACATAAGTCTAACTTCCGTTGATCTAGGAGTAAAAAACGCTCCAATGCATAGCAAAACTTAGACCCATGGCACGAATTCCTCGTTCGCTCCAGAACAGGGGTTCCCAAAGGGGTAAAGTGTGCTTTTACGAGGGGGGGGGCTGAGGATAATTACAGTGTTACTTATGAATGGAAGGATTTTGGTGAGTATTGTTGTTCGTCACAATCAGCCGACAATTCAGATATGTCGACCAGCTATACGGAAAAGCACCAGACGGCCGTTTCGCCCTATTGGGGCTCATCAGTGGTGCGCATCCTTCGGTCCTCTGCGGAGGATCGAACCTATGACTGCTAGTGGCTCTTGCCAACTAGCCCGCAGCTTATGCAACTGTGCCATGGAGGACGGTATCTGACTATCATGAATTGTTAGCTAAATGCGATATAGCCCGACGCATCCTCCACTGCCATGCAGGCATCTGCCATGCAGATGACAACGGTTGGCCTTCCGGCGTCAGGACTTCCCGGTTACGGCAGCTGGGCATCGACATAGCATTTTGTGGAATCCGTAAGGGCGAATTGGTATTACTTATGAGTTGAAGGATTTTGGTGAGTATTTTTGTTCGTCGCAGTCAGCCGACAATTCAGGTATGTCAACTAGCTGTCCGGAAAAGCACCAGACGGCCGTTTCGCCCTATTGGGGCTCATCAGTGGTGCGCATCCTTCGGTCCTCTGCTGAGGATCGAACCCATGATTGCTAGTGGCTCTTGCCAACTAGCCCACAGCTTATGCAACTGCACCATGGAGGACGGTATCCGACCATCACGAATTGTTAGCTAAATGCGATATAGCCCGTCTGGTGCTTTTCCGGACAGCTAGTTGACATATCTTAATTGTCGGCTGATTGCGACGAACAAAAAGACCCTCAACATCGTTCATTATACCGTTGTGCCAAGCGTTGCCCGTAACCCTGTGGCTTAAGGGTAGCGGTCACAACTAACATCCCGATGGTCCTGAGTTCGATGCCTGCAAACTGTCTCAGTTGAGATGTAATGACATCGAAACGCGTCATAGTAGTGCAGTGTTTTCGGGTGGGCAACACCCAATTTATATTTGTATCTATCTATTTTCCTGATTTGAAAAATCACCAAGAAAATGCAGGGGCTAAGATTAAGGAATATGTTTAGGTAGTGAAATTGAAGCCATGCACAATTCCTTGGACTTCGCGAGAATAATACAATTGGAATTGGCTTCCAAAACACACGATCAGTACCATTTTGGACAAATGTTGGTGGCGAGTATACATTACTATCGAAAAAAGATTGAAAATACGAATCCCAATCACCGCAGCTTACAGGTGTGAAAGCTGAATTTTAATAATAATGACAATGAAAACAAAAGCAGGGATAGAGATTTAATTTGGCGCACGATTTAAGATGCGCATTAGCCGAAACCACACCAACTGTTATGGGAATTGTTAAAACCAGGCAATATAATAACAAAATTTGCTCAAAAGCAGGGTTATCTTTGTTCGAATAATTGAGAAAATCAATATTTCATAATTTGAAGTAAAAATGTGCGATAGTTAATAGCTAATTCGTTTTCCAACCAAACGTTTTTGGGTTAATTGTTTATATTTAACCCGCTTTAGAGGGTAACAGCCTTAAAAATATTTGGAACCACTGATCTAGAGTGATGGATCAAGTATGTGCTTACTTCGCGACATGCAACGTCAGCTTAGTCCGCCACTTGCTTTGAAGTGTATCTCCGTCAGCTCTTTTGCTTTGACTAGATCTTCAGCAGATAAGCTGTCATGACAAGCATTGCCTATGTCTCGGTTACGCCATCTTCTGACAGTCTACGTTCTAGGTTGGAGTTTAACTTTTTATCTGCTGAGTCGAACTGAACACGCAATCACTCGTGGAGTGCACTGCCGGTGCCGCACAGCTTTTTGCATAAATCGCCATTTATTCGTCTCCTAACACATACTAAAGTGCTAGAGTAGCCTTGTATTTTTTTCCACCACCGAAACAGCGACTTCG